AGCACAATCTCTGCTGTTATCTGAGAAATTATTTCTGATTTCATTTTTCCCAGATCCTCTTTTGTTGCCAGTTCAGGGAGTCCAGGTGGCTGAGTATCAGATTTTTCCACTTCATTTCCCTTTGGGGTTTCCCTTTGGGTTTCCCTTTAGGTGATCTGGAAGTCTGGTTTTGAGACTTGTTTACGTGTCTTCTCATTTTGACGAGGGGAGGTTTTGCTGCTGGCGCCCGCGCAGCTCACCTCCTCTGTGCTGGTGGGGGTGATATGGCAGCCCAAAAGCCTCCTCTTGTGCGCTGGGAGTGGTTCACCTCCTCTGTGCTGGCGGGGGTGGTTCGGCAGCCCGGAAGCCTCCTCTTGTGCGCTGGGAGCAGATCACTTCCTCTGGCTGGCGGGGGTGGTATGGTGGCCCGGAAGCCTCCTCTTGTATCTGACTGTTCTCTTAAGAGAAGATTGGAAGAGGTCTTGATAAAACCAGTGCTGGAAGCCTACTGTGTCATTCATCAGACACATGACCTATAGGAGAATACACTTAGTGGTTAAAGACAGAGCCCCTAGAGTCTGCCAGAAGTTGAATCCTGGCTCTGTATTAACGTAGTAAGGCACTTTTGTGTCTTCATTTCCTCAATTGTAAAATGATAATTACATCATCACAGTGAGATAAAGTGATGCGGGCAGCACTTTGAATAGTTCCCAACAATGTAAAATACACAACAAAGTTTGGTGTAGTTATCAGTGTCAGTATTATTAAATCCAGGGTTTGTTGTTTGCCAAGTCATGTTGATTATGCCACTGTAGTGTTTAACATTGGTCTCTTCCTTTCTATGTGTATTTAACAGTGTTCTAGTTCAAAGCACAAAAGCTCTTGGCTAGACTATTGCAGCCTGTGTCTAATTAATTGCCTTGCCTCCTTTCTTTCTTTCCCATCCAGCTTTGTCCACTGCTGTTAAATTGTCACATTACTTTTATGCCTCAGTTCCTTTCTTCCTGCTTTCTCAATATGTTCACATTTACTCAAGGTTCCCCTTCCTGTAATTCTAGTCTGTCCTTCTGCACAAAAGCACACAGTACTGCATGTTTTTACTTAGACTATGTGGCTTCTCTGATCTTCTTTGTCATTCGAAGTACTTTCAGTTTTATCTCACATGCCACCAACTGCACCTTCTACTTCACTTTTCACAGTAACATTCCCCTCTTAGTTTTGTAATCATTCGCATGCTTTTCTAATCCTTGAATTTGGACTACTAGATTGTAGAGATTATATTTCTCACACCTTCCTATTTGGTTTCACACTATATAGTAGATGGTTTAATAAATATTGTTTAATTCATTTTATTTCAATTGTCATTTTCCTCCAGGAAGGATAAACAGCATCAAGCAGCTGAACTTGAATGTGAGGAAAATGTTATTCCAGATTCACCAATAACAGCCTTTTCCTTTTCTGGCATTAACCGGCTACGAAGAAAGGAGAATCTCCATGTCCGATATGTAGAAAAAACAAATACTAGATTGGAGCATTCTATGTGTACAAATGGTAAGATTCAGAGTTGTATTTCAGTTTTCTGGTTTTTTGAAAAAGTATCCATTGTTTTTACGCTATTCGATCTAGTAGAAGGAAGTTAGTCATTGGCCAGGTAACCTGTAAGTTTAACTTCTGTTAGCAAAGTGAGAAGTCATTTTCTGCCTGTATTATATATACATATGTGTTTCTTATATGAACATATAAATACTCCGCATTTTATAAATGTAGTAGTTTCTTTTTTGTTTTAAAAAATATTCTTAGTGGCAGTACATGTCTCTAATACCAGTACTCCAAAGCTAAGTCAGAAGGATCTCAAGTTTGTGGCTGGCATGAGCAACTTAATAAGACCCTATGTCAAAATTTTAAAAGGGTAGGACATATAGCTCACTAGTAGAGTGCCCTTGAATTTGATTTCCAATTTCAGAACAAAACGAAACAAGTCTTGTGTATGTATCTGAGTGGGATCGAAGGAAACAAATTTCACATTAATTTCCACCTCCTATGTTTCAGGTATTAATATGCTGAGTAATTTACATACATTATTATTATATTTCAATTCTTACAACAGGCTTATGAAGTAGCTATTAGTTGCTTTGTTTTAGAGATTGGGAGATAAATGCTTAGGAGATTAAAAACTCAAGGTAGGTAGATTTAGATTTAGGTAAATCAGAATTTAGATATAAATCTTTCTGGCTCTAAACTTTTACACTGAAGGTTTTACCTGCAGGTACTCCTGTCATTTGGAGATGTCTTTAACTGGCTATTTTTATTTTTATAATTTGTAGCAGTTGGTGGTAATCTAGAAATGACTTTATAATATGTGTTCTTTGGATTATCAGTGATTTATTTCTAGTTTCAGCCCAGTTTAACATTTCTGCTAAATGATTTGAAACTACCTTTTATATAGCCCTGAAATGTATAATGTAACATGATACAATCATTATTCTTTTAATATTAATCTAAAGTAAATGGTAAAGACTAAATTTTTTTTGTAAAGACTAATTTTTAAACTAAAGTTTTGTAACAGAAAATATGTGGGGTAAACGGATGTGTGAAGTTCTAAAGATACTTGTGTCATGCAAATACATTGTGAGAATATTCTTTATTTTTCGTATTTGGAAAATTGGCACAGTTCCCCTATTTTATATGAGTTTACATCACCATCTAGTGGTAAACAAAAGAACTGTTAAAAATCCTGCATGCAATTAGGAGCTAAATTAAAATATAAGATCCTAGATCTTGAAAGAACAGGACATAATCAGATAGGATATGAATCATTACAGATAATCATCTGTATAATTTAGGTCATGTTTAAGTCCATGAATATGAATATCCAAAAAACAAAGCCCAACAATTTTCTTCATTAGGAAAGTCATCATTTGTATCCAGCATAAATGCTTCAGTTTTATTTCCTCACTGTATGAGAGCGGTATATACCAACCTAAAGACTTAATTGATTTGTTATTTTAGTATTGTTCTCATCACTTTTTATTTGGAATCTGAAACTTTCATTTTAAGATATATGTGTTGGGCTATGTAAATTATTTGAAAAAAAGTTTTAAATGATTTAATAACCAATTCTTGTTTTTATTCTAACCACATTTGCTTATCTTAAAGTTTACAGTATTTTTTAATATTACTTTCAAGTCATAAAGTGAAACTCTATTTTCCTTTACTTTGGCCTTTTAGTTTTCTTTGAATTAAATCTTTAAACAGTAGAAATATTTCTGATAAAACTTGTTTCAAGGTTTCTTTACAGAAATAAAAACCCTTCCCCGAGCTGGGAATTTAGCTCAGTGGTTCCACTGCCTGCCTCTCAAGCACAAGGTCCCAAGTTCGATCCCCAGTACCAAAAAAAAAAAAAAGAAAGAAAAGAAAAACCCTAAAATAAAGATTATGGCGATATAAGAAGTAGTAAACATTAAATTAACCTAATTTGTAATGGATACACAAGGGCAAAATAACATAAAAGTGTTACTGTTTAGGCATGTTAGATCAGAAAAAAATTGTCTTTTCTAGTCCTCTGTCACTTGCTGTCCTAACTTGCAACTTTGTTGCTTAGTGAAACTAAAGAAACTTTTTTTTTTTTTTTGGACTGGGGATCGAACTTGGGTCCTTGAGCTTGCAGGGCAGGTGGCTGAACCACTGAGCTAAATCCCCAGCCCAGGAACTTCTTAAAATACAAGAATTATGGCAATAAGATAGTTTTTGAAATACTTTAATGACAGGTTTCTGTTGTTTGCGAATAATATTTTGATAATATTTTTATCATTATTATTTGTTTGTCATATAATCTTTCCTCTTTTTTCCCCTTAGAATTAAGAAAAGTTTCTAAGGCTTCAACTCTTTCACAACATAGCCCTAATGAAAAGGAAATTCTAGTTGCTGACACTTGTGATCAAAGTGACACTCCAGTGGCTGGTAAGATACTAAAATTACTTTTTATAAGTTTAAAATGTGTGGTTATTGATAAACAAGAGCAACTAGCAGAATTGGACTGCCTTTTAGAGATTTTTTTCATATAATTGTGTTTATATTACTAGGTATTTAGAAGTCTTCATACTGGAAAGTAATATTAGTATTCATTGACATTAATATCCATATTAATACAAATTGCTATTGATTTAGATAAGGAAGGCTTTGTGCAGTTTACTCATTCATTCAACATATAATCATATACCAGGCAATGAACAAAACAAAGCTCTTGCTCTTGTGGAGTTAACACTCTAGTTAGGGAATAAAGAAAAGAAATATGTCAGGTAGAATCAGGTGCTCTAAAGAGAAATGAAACAGGATAAGAGAAGTATTAGAAAGCCTCAGTCATGAAGTGACCTTAGAGCACACACTGGGGGAAGCACATGGGGCAGAGCAGCATCACAACAGAGGGAGTGTGCCTTGGTTTTTTGAGGGACAGGGACATAAGGAAGCCTATGTGGCTGGAGCAGAGTGAGCGAGGAGGAGAGTGCTTTGGAGAATAGGAGGAATAGAGCTGCTGTTTACTGAGACAGAAGAGACTGGAAGCAGGATATTCAGGTAAAGATGTTAGAAGAGTGTGTGGATGTGAATTCAAGTCTAGAGAAGTTTAGGATGGAGATACATATGGAACTTGTCAGCGTAATATCCAAAACCATGAAACTGGATGAAATTACCAACCAAGGCAGTGTAAATGGGGGAGTGAAGTTCAGTACTGAGGAATTCATTTATGTTTCCCAGCTCCCCCAAAGCCTTTTTAAATTTTTCCCTATTTTCTCTATGGAATTTTTTTTTATACTAGTTATAGTTACAGCGAGAAGAGCATACGCATTTGTTTTTTCTTTTGTGGTGCCAGGGATAGATCCCAGAGCCTCTTTTATGCTAGCCAAGTGCTCTAACACTGAGCTATCCTAACCCACCCCACTGCCATTTTAATACTGCAGATATACTGGATATCTGATTATATACTGTCTGTATTACTTATGCTTTATTCATAAAAAGAGACATTTTTGCCCCATAAAAACCATCTTTCTCTCCCTTGGGGCAGTATTGCAGGTGTTAATGTGATTTAGAGGTTGTAAAAATGAGAGAACTGACAGAGTAGACAGGGAAGGAGCTGCCACTGAGATTGGAGGACTTGAAAATGAGTAGAATGTCCCCAAATTTGAGGAAAGAGGAAATGATTTATCTGTGTTAAAAAGTGCTAATAAGTCAAATATGATGCAAACATCTTAGTATTGACTGTATTTGGTTGCATGGAGATCATTGGTTGTTAAACTAGTAGCATAAAAACTGTAAAAGTGTAAGAGTGATCACCTGAGACCATCAAAAGAGAAACTAGAGACAGAGAAAGTAGAAAGCATGTATATACGTAAATACATACACATATACATATATATATGTATATGAATGAGAAAGTCTTCCAGGGTATTTTGCAATAAAGGAGAGAATAGAACAGTGGCTAGCAAGGAAGATGGGTCAAAGGAAGATTATGGCAGGTATAACATTTTTATACTGGTGAGACGATCAAGTAAAGGGGAAATTTAGTCATTCTAGAGGAAGAGAGAAAAATTGCTAAATCCTTGGAAAGGTGAAAGAGATGGGATCCAGAGACCATTTGGAAGATTGGCCAATGTTAATTACTTACTTGGTTTATATTAGTGCAAGACTGGTATTCTGCAAACTGCAGATCGTCCTGTATTAATATGCATATATGGTGTATGTGTGAGCAAGTACGGTATGTGTGCATGTGTAGTATAGGCAGCCCCTAAGTCCAGCACTGAGTACTAGGGCTGAATACAGAATGTGGCAGATTCTTGCTGCTCAGGGCTCTGGAGCCCATTCTCTTCTGCGGCTAGGACTTTACTCCATCATTAGTCCTCTTCTATTTTCCTATATCTCCAGATTCTCTACTGGTAATATATACTCATATATGTTTTTTCCTTTGTTTTCTAAAAATAATCCCCCTCTTGTTTGCCTTTACCCTTAGTTACAGCTTCTCTTCAAAGTTGAAAATGTGGTCTATAATCAGTATTTCTGCTTTCTAACTTCCATTTCCTCCAACCCACTAGTAGTATAGATTCTACTCCCCCACCCCACCCCTTATGAGAGACAGATAAAGGGAACAAGGGAAGGGGGCTGAAGAAAGGGACAGCGAAGACAGAAAGCAAGCATATCTGCACTCCCTCTCTTCCACTTGTTGCACTAGAACTTCTAGCAAAAGTCATCAGCATTGATGTTCCCCAGTATGTATGGGCCTGTTTCTGTCTTATTTGCTCTCTTTTTGGAGTTATTATACCTAGAATTATTGTCCTGCTATGCTAATAAAATCTGTGTCAGGACTTTTCTCCTGGACTCCAAGCCAGGTGTTTGCCTGCTGTTAAGCATTTCTACCAGCATATCATTTGTCTTCATCATGTCCAAAATGGAAGCTTTCCTGTCAGACCTACTGTCCTTCCTTACATTTACAACCTCTGGATGACACTGTACGTACCTCTTTGAGTTACCTAACTCAAAAGACATTTTAAGTCATCCTAGACTCTTGCTTTCTCATCTCTTATTTCTAAACAGCTTCTGAGTCTCACTGGTTCTGATTCCACTTTCTCGTTGTCTGTTTTACATATTCTTCTGTACCCTCAAGGATATACTTTTGGCCGTCAGCCTCTCACATCACGACTTTTAGTAATTAGTTTCTTTGGTATGTTTGTGATTGCTTCTAGCCTATGAGACTGTTACAGCCAGAATTACCTTTTTAACCCAAGAATGACTGTCATCTATTTAAACCTCTTGCATTTCCGTTCATTGTTCACAGGAGAAATTCAAAACCACATGTAGTTCTCCCTAAACAAGCATTTTGTTTCACATATCTAGACCCTTACACATATCTAAACTGTTACTTTCTGATCCCAATCTAGTTAACCTGCCAAACTCCTCATACTCTTTTTTTTTTTTTTTTTTTGGTACCGGGGATTGAATTTGGGACCTTGTACTTTCGAGGCAGGTGCCGGAACCACTGAGCTAAATCCCCGGCCCTACTCCTCACACTCTTAAGTGTCAGCTTAGGCATCACTTTGTGTAGCTTGCCATGGTTTCCCAATGCAAACTTAGGGATTCTTCTACCTTTAAATTACCCCTTTATATTACCTTTAATATGTTATCATGCTCTACTGCAGTTGTTTTTACCCTTAAATTGTAATCCATAGCTGTTTAAGAACAAGAATGTCTTCTTTTCATACAGTGCATAGCACAATGCCTGGAACTAGTAGGTGCTCTATACATACTTGTTATTAGAGTTATAGAAACTCTAATACACAAAAATTTATGAAACACCTTCATGTATGTGATTTCTGTTTAAATAGGTTACCTTAAAAGTTAAAAATTGTGCAGTTCTGAAAACCTCTCCCTTATATTCATGAAAGATACAATAAATATGGTTTAATATTTCTCCTGTACCTTAGTTTGCTATAAATCATTTTCTGATCCATATTCAGTGTCAATAAAAAATTACCTATTGCATTCAATTCATTTAGGAAAAATAGAAAACTGAAAAAGTTTAGCAAGTGTGTATGTAAAATACCTGCAGCTTATTGCTGTTTTTAGTAGATATTTTGGATTTTTTAACAGAATTTAGAAATTTGTCCAGTGCCATTTTGTATTGGTTCTTTGAGCCTTTGGCTTCCTTTTATATAATTTGTATACATGTAATTTTTATAAGTGTAATTTTATACACATAATTTATAATTTTTTTCTTAGAAATATATGGAACAAGAAGTTGTCCCACTGATAAGTCATCTTTTAATTTAGCTACAGTTGTTGCTGAAACACTTGGACTTGGCATTCAAGAGGAATCTGTAAGTAATACTTATTTTGATGATAATATGAATTAATCAATATGTCCAGTTAGAGCTGCCCTTAGAGAATTGAGCAAGAGAAAAATTATTTAATCCAGAGATCATTGAATAAAGACCTAGAACAAAACTAATGTTTGAAAGGCCCATTTCTATTGTCTACTCCAAAGCAGGCCCAGTAACGTCATCTTTAGAATTCTTGGGATATAGATAGGATTGAGCCAGAATTGCAGGGGAAGAATTATGGCAGAGTGGATATATTCTGCCTGTCCTCTTTCCTTCCCCATCTTCTTCCTGTCTAGCCTCGTGCTAAGAGAAGACCTAAACCCTGAGATTGATTTCAGAATGTAGTGGGTCTTTTTGCCGTACATTAAAGGAAAATTTGACTTGGAAAACAGGCTGAATTCTTGCTACTCCCAAGAACTGCTGATCCAGTTAGACCTAATTCTTGGGGACTGAGCCAGAGACTAGCCCCAGCATATTTTCATCTTCTTAGTACAGTACTTCCTTACTTATGACCAGTACATTTATTGGGTTTTTTTCTTGATTGAGCCCTAGAAAATAGAGAACTTCTTCATTCTTAAGTTCTGGTTTGACACAATCTCAAAATAGTATTCATTTGCTTAAGTTAGTAAGTGTGTATGTGCCCCATAAAGTTGTCTTGCTGTTGAATTTCTGAAATTTGAGTTTTTAAAAATTATACTGTATTTAGTTTTTGTCCTTATAAAATCCTTTCTCACCATACTTTCTTTATTGTTTTATTTTATTTTATTTTATGTTTTGGTGCTGGGGATTGAACCTGAGGCCTTTGCATGCTAGCCACACACTGCCACTCAGCTAAACCCCCAGCCTTACTTTCCACGTTGATGGGACAAAATACCTGTCAACTACAACTCAAAGGAGAGGTTTTGGGGGTTTCTTTTTTTTTTATTAGTACATGTTTGCAGTACATGAAATGTGCATTCATCTTACGGAGTGTGTGCATATACATAACACAGCTTGATTCTTTTTAATCTCCTTCCCCTTCCCACCCACCACCCTCCCTCCATCTCTAAATCCACTTTCTCCATTTTTATTCATACTGTTATTATTTTTGGTTCATGTTTATGATATATAATGTTTACATTCATTGTGGGTATTTAGTACATGTGCATGACACATCTTAAAATCTTTCTATTCCTTCCTCTTCCCTCTCCCCTCACCCTCGGTCTCCTGGACTCTTCCAAGTTTGCAAAAGATCTGTCTCCTTGTTTCCTTCCATCAGTCCTTTCTTTTGCTCTTTATTTGTTCTTTGCCTTACTCAAATGAGGGATACCATTTGGTATTTAAGGTTGAGAAGGGGTTTATTTTGACTTGTGGTTACAGTCCACGGTCAGCCAGTTTCAACCCAAAAGGGGATGAGGAAAATTCCCTGGGGGATGCTGCTCACATCATGGCAGCCAGAAAGCAGAGAAGGGGGAGGAGCAGAGGCTGGAGACAACACCCTTCCAGGTCACATCCCCAGTGATCTGCCTCCAGATGCCACCACCAGGCCCCACCTCCTGACAGCAGTTTAGCCACAGCCCCACCATGGTTCAGTCTTCTTCTGAAAGCCCTGCTTGTGAGGACACGAGGCCTCTGAGGACATTCTCCATGTAACCATGACAGACCTGCTTCTTAGGAATGAGTCAGATTGGCCTCATCATATTTTCATTATTTTAGTACTTACTTACATTGGGCATGTTTACTTTTTTTTCCTTGATTGGTCCATAGAAAATAGAAAATGTGAATTCTTCAATCTTAATTTCTGTTTTGACAAAATTTTAAATTTTAAAATTCCCTCACTTTAGCTAGTAAATGTATATGTACTCTTACAAAGTTGTCTTGCTGTTGAATTTTCTGAAAATTGGCTTTTTTATTTGAGTTTTTATCCTTTTTAAATCCATCTTCACAGGTGTGGTGACACAGGCCTGTATTTCTAGCTATTCAAGAAGATGAGGCAGGGTGATTGCAATTTTGAGGCAGTCTAGGCAATTTAGGGAGTCCCTGTCTCAAAATAAAGAAAAAAACATTAAAGGCTGAGGATGTATCCCAGTGGTAGAGCTCTCATGTGTTTGATTCCCAGCACCACACACACAAAAAGCCATCCTCGGATGGTAATGCGTACTTTTTCATCTTTGTACTTTAAATGTATTTTATTGATTTCTGATTCCCTCCTACTTAGAAACCTAGCAGTTTAGACATCAGGTCAGTAATTTAGACATCAAATATTTTAAGGAAACTGAAATCTAAAGACTTGATGCTTGTAGTGCGAGTCATAGGCCAACAGCATCTGCATCACTTTTGAAGTTGTTTGAGGTGCAGAATCCAGACCTACTGAATTTCCGTGTAGCAAGATCTCCCGCTGTATGTATGTTAAAGTTTTAGGGGCCGGGGATTTAGCTCAGTGGTTCTGCCGCCTGCCCCACAAGCTCAAGGACCCGAGTTCGATCCCCGGTACCAAAAAAAACATTTTAGAAGCACTGCTTTCTAAAGGATCCTTTAAATTTATTTGTATTCTCTTTCCCTCATGTTAATAATGGTTTTTGGAATTGATGTTTTATATACCAGTAATAGAATATACTTACGTAAAATATTGATGGTTTTCTCTCTTAGAACTTAATATAGTTCATATTTTTATTGTGATGAAATTCAGATAATATAAAATAAATAATTTTAAAGTGTGCAGTTCATTCAAGGCAGGCATGGTGACACCAGCCTGTAATGCCAAGCACTCTGGGAGGCTGAGGCAGGAGGATTGCAAGTTTGAGCCTAGGCTGGGCAATTTAAGTAACTTGGCAAGACCCTGTCTCAAAATAAAAAAAATTAATTTGAAAGGCTGAGGATGTAGCCCAGTAGGAAGGCCCTCTAGAATGAACTAAGTACTGCAAAAAATAAATAAAAGTGTACAATTTCGAATATTCATAATATTATGCAACTACCACCTTTTCAAGGATGAGTAATATTCCATTGTTTGCATGTGCTTCACATTTTACTATTAAAGGAATCTCAGGGTCCCATGAGCCCTCTTGGTGATGAGCTGTACCACTCTCTGGAAGAAGATCACAAGAAACAGCCTTTTGAGGAGTCCATGAGAAATGCTAAAGATAGTTTAAGGTAATTTGGGGCACTTTGGTGAAAACTTGTGACTACTGTTGAGCTCCCATTAGAATTAAACCATTTCATTAAATTCTTTCTCTTCCTCAGATAGAGTTGTTATTCTGGCTGGCTATACTTTTATTGTGAAAAATGTCCCTTCAGTTTATGAGCAATTGAGAGCCCTTTGCATTACAATGGAGAAGTAGGTGTTATTTTTAAATCCTCATCATCAACCTGTCAGTACACTATTTAAGAGCTCCCAGTCTTCTGCCCCTTTAAAGGCCCAGCCATCCTTTCTGTGTTTGTTGCCAAATCCTGTATGTTATACAAAGGACATCTATAAGCTGGATGAGTTTCTAAGATTGTATTGCATCTCATTTTTTGCTAATTTCATCTGTTGTCATAATAACCCTTTAAGATAGGTTTTAGTACTTTTGAAATAAAAATGCAGCCCCTGAGAGGATTACATGTCTTAGTAAAGTCACTTAGATGTTAAGTACTAGACCCAGAGCTCATAGCCATTCCCTGTCTTCACACTTAAACCTCGGGCTCTTTCTATAGCTTTCTCCTTTACTAGAGACAGCTGAGTTTGATTTTCTAATTTAAGAGTTTTGGGGTTGGAGATGTAGTCCAGTGGTAGGCTGCTTATTTAGTAACCAGGAGGCCCTTGGCTTGATTTCAAACACTGAAGAAAAAAAAAAACCCAGAATTTTGTTCTTAGAGTTCATTAATTTTTTTTATAATGAAGTTATTTAAGTTACTTAGGGAAAAATTACATAGGAATATTAGGGTATTGAGACATGTTTCCTGAACCGTTTTCCTCAGCTCTTTGTCTCCCAAATGAAAAGACTCTAACCAGTTATACTATATCTTAAATTTTGGTTAATCATCTGCCTCTCTAATAGATAGTGAAAACCTCACTATTCTGTGTTAAGCAAAGGTTTTTCTCATTGTGCTTGTCTTTTGATTTTTACCATATGAAAAAAGTTTTCTTATTCTTTATTTAGATTTTCAGACTCTACTTCAAAGACTCCTCCTCAAGAAGAATTGACTCCTCGGGTGTCATCTCCTGTATTTGTACCTACGTCTACTGTGAAAAGTAGTTTGGGTTTGAATACAAGTTTGTCCCCTTCTCTTTTAGACACTGGGAAACAAAGCCATCTCAAAACAGCCCCTTTCAGCAGCACTTCTATTTCTAGATCAGAGAAAACTAGATCAAAATCTGAGGATAGTGCCCTTTTCACTCATCATAGTCTTGGGTCTGAATTAAACAAGGCCATTAGCCAGTCATCTTCTAGTAAGCAGATTCTTAAAAATATAAGTGAATCCATAAATGAACAGGATATTACTGATCACACTAAAGATACTGTGATAGATAAACATATAGTGTCCCTGAAATCATTGGGAGGCAGAACATCCAAAAGGAAGAAAACTGAGGAAGAAAACGAACATGAAGTATGCTGCCCCCAAGCCTCTTTTGATAAAGAAAATTCTCTTCCTTTTCCAATGGATAGTCAATTCTCCATGAATGGGGACCATGTTTTGGATAAACCTCTGGATCTGTCTGATCGGTTTTCAGCTATTCAGCATCAAGAGAAAAGACAAGGAAATGAGACTTCCAAAAACAAATTCAAGCAAGTGACTCTTTATGAAGCTTTTAAGCCCATCCCAAAAGGCTCATCCTCAAACTATAAGGCCTTGGATGGGGGCTCCATGGACTCCCCAGAGGAGTCCTGTCTACAGGAGTGTGTCCGCCAGTCTTTACGTAAATCCCCTCCAGACAGTAAAACACCATTACCTATAAAAGAAGAAAATTCCATCTTCAAGATCCCTCTACGTCCACGTGAAAGTTTGGAGACAGAGAATCTTTTTGATGATACGAAGGTTTGTGTTAAATGTTTAAGGATTTTGATTAAAATCACTTGCTGTGATTTCATCTGGATGCTAATTATCATTTCTATTTAGGGTGCTAGTTCTAATGAGCCAATAAAAGTAAAAACCAGATCAGTTCATGGAGGATGTGAACTTGCATCAGTTCTTCAGTTAAATCCCTGCAGAATTACCAAAACAAAGTCTAACAACCAAGGTATGCACCGTATAAATAGGATTTCTACTCTTCAGTGACTTTGAATTTAGATATTTACATACTTTGAGTAGATTCAGTTGTTATGGAAAATTTTTTAAATTTCCTCCCTGAGTATTTGTACTCATAAGATGATTCTCATTGCTTTCATTTTACCTCTGATTTTTCTGCTTTTGTACTTTGTAGAAAAATGAGTTATTTTGGTATCTGCTTTTAAAGGTGATTTTGTAGACTTATGTTTTATAGTTTTCCTTTACAGAAGCTTTTAAAATTTAAACTATACAGAATTTTTTTTAAAAAAATAGCATCCAAACCTTATTTCTCATTCTATAGGTAATTTGTCCTTTTTATTTCATTTGCATTTTTATGTATAAGCATGAATGTATAAATTATTTATATAAGTTTTTAAACTTGTAAACCTTGTTTGCCATGGCATACATATAAGTTTTTAAACTTGTAAACCTTGTTTGCCATGGCATACATATAAGTCTTCTGATAATGTACTGTATATATTTTAAAGGAGTCATTTTGTTTTTTCAGCCACCAAACATTTTTCTAATTCATATGTAGTATTTTTCTTTTTTTTCTTCATTGGCAGTTTATTCTTTCATTCTGGGATTATTTTCCTTTTTTCCTGAAATATATTCTTACTCTTCAAGCGTGAAAACATTTTTTTCACTCTCATTCTCCTAATTTTTTTTAGTTTTTTTTTCCTTTGGTTAATTTCTTCTTGACTGCCTTCAGGGCTATAATATGCCTGTTTAGCTTTTCACGGTCAGTCTAGAGTTACTGCATACTACTTCATGTTCTGGAGCTCTACTTCATTTATTTGTTGTGTCTTATGTTTACATACAGTACATTGAAAACCCTTCCAGGCAATGTTATATTGTCAACATTTTTAAAAATATTTTTATTAAAATGTAAATTACATACCATAAAAATCCACCATTAAAATTTACGATTCAGTGGTTTGGGTAAATTCACAGAGATTTTCCAGCCATCACGGTAGCCTAAGTTTAGAACAAGCATCGCTCTGCTGATCTTCCTCTTCCCCAGTTCTGGGCACCACTGATTCTTTTGTGTTCATAATTTAGCTATTCTAGAGGTTTCATATAGATGGAATGCTTCAGTGTATAATCTTTCATGATTCACCTCTTTCATTTGGTATAATGTTTTCCATTTCATCCATATTATAGCATGTACTGATATTTCTTCATTCCTTTTTACTGCCGAGTAACATTGTATACCAGATTTTTCATCCATTAATAGAAATTTAATTGTTCCTTCTTTTTGCTGTTATGAATAATACTGCTGTGAACATTTGTGTATAAGTTTTTGTGTGGATGCATGTTTTCATTTTTTCTTTATACTTAGGAGTGGAATTACTAGACCCTTTGCCAACTCTGTGTTTAAACTTTTGAGGGGCTGCCTGTTTTGCAGAGTAGCTGTATACCATTTCACATTCCCACCACCATTGTGTGTGGGTTGCACTTTCTCCGCATCTTCACTAACACTTGTTATCTTTCATTTTGATCTTTGTAGATGTGACATAGTATCTCATTTTGATTTTGCATTTTCCTGAGGGCTGATGATATTGAGTATCTTTTTATATGCTTATTGGTCATTTAAACTCTATTCAGAGCCATTTCCTGTTTTTAATTTGGAAAATTTACCTGTTTTTGTATTGTGAGTTCTTTATATATCCCAGGTACAAGTCTTGTAGTAGACTTGTGATTAGCAAAAAATTTCTTCCATTCTGTGGGTCTCCTAACATTTTAAAGTGATGAGAATTTTCAAAATCTATTTTTAATTGTGTATTTTTCTCCTTATCTAAGATGCATCCTTTGAAAATATCCAGTGGAGTATAGATCCAGGAGCAGACCTTTCTGAGTATAAAATGGATATTACTGTAATAGATACAAAGGTAAATTAAAAAATAAAACCAAAGCCCATTTGCTTATTCTAGTGAGTTAGTGAACTTTCTCTCTTGACTTATTCTGTGACCTTTATTCACATACTTCTTAAATACATGTTTTATTCAAAAACCAAAGAAAGAAAGATACTTGTTTATCAAACTTTATGGTATTTTTGAAAAGATAATACTTTCTGCCTTTAAAGGCCTTTACTTAAAAAGCATTGGTACCATTTTTTTGATTAGTGCAAAATTCTAGTTATATGTTTTTAAATTATTTTTATGAAAATAATCCATATGCTGTGATTAGCTTTAGAGTAATGTCCCATCAAGAAAATATTTATTTTCCCAGTTGACTAATTTTTTAGGAACTGCATTTTTTGAAAATAAGTCATAGTGTAAATACTTTTTTGCTTTATATTTAGGTTCTATAGTTTGAGAAGTTCTCTTTCACTTGGTAGCATATTAATAACAGAGTTTAACAGTTGCTAAAGTAATTTATGCCTATCAAGAAATCAAATTTGATTACTGAAATCATTATGGTTAGTTGTGCATTTTTGTTCATTGCTGTGAGGCAGATTGGGAAAGATGCAGGATGAGCCAAGGGCAGTCTGTGGTGTGTGGGTCCCTCTTCCACGGACAGGAGTCCTCCTTTTTCCTAGGCTGCGATGCTGGCATATTAAAGTGATATGTTTTACAATCCGTAAAACCTGAATCTCTTTTCACAAAGAATGAAAGCAAATAATAGTTTAATGCTTAAAGATAGAAAAATTTATGTGTATTTACCAGAAATTTTGGTAAAAATACAAATATAAGGCCAAAAAGAAATAATTATTAAATTTTGGATTTTAGGATGGCAGCCAGTCAAAATTAGGAGGAGAGACAGACATGGACTGTACGCTGGTCAGTGAAAGCTTGCTTTTAAAGGTGAAGAAACAAGGGCAAAAAGGTGAAAAAAGTCCAAGTAAGATTTGCTTTTTTAAAAATTTTAATAAAAACATGGAATGAAGTTTGTATTTACACCATTGTACTGATTGACAGTGAACTCTATCATTGTTATGTCTCATGTGTAGATGCCCCCCCACAACCTCAAGTGGTCATAGGTGGGGCTTTTCATAGGTGGCTGGATCTAGAGTGTGTGACATGGATTGATTCATAGTGCGATGCTAGGAATAAGGAACAGAAAGAGGCTCGTCACTTATTGTTGCTATTGCTTGCCTTCTGCTCTGTGATGCCCTTCAGCCACGCCACCCTGCCCTGGAGCACCCAACTATGGACTGAAACCCCTACAGACAGGGCCAAATCAACTTTTCCTCCTTTAACTTTGGGTGTCGGGTATTTTGTCTAAGCAACTAGAAAAATAACTAAGACAATAATAAAGTAGAATTTTTTTCCCTGCTGTTAATTTTATATCCCTTTTAAGGAAATTTATTTTCAGTGTTTCAGAAAAGAATCTTTAGCCAGAATAATTTTATTTCAGAAAGAATTCAGATTGTTTCCAAGGGTCAGCAGGCTACAGTCAGCTACCAGTTTTATTGTGAACAGCCTCATTCATTTGTTGTTTGTGTTGCCTGTGGTTGCTTGCTCCAAACAAGGATAGAAATGAGTTTTTGATCCAGAAACCTTATAGCTCCACAAGCCCATTTTACTTTTTGACCTTTTAAGAAAAACTTGCTAATCACTAGATTTAGACAATTTTCATAAAGAGAGGAAAAGAGGATCTGAAGACTCCATGTGTCTTAGTCATTTACTCTTCACAGGGACACAATCCCCCGACATGCACAATTTAAAAGAGAGGTTTGTTTTGGCTTATGTTTCAGTCCATATTCTACTGGCTCCAAGCCAAGACAGCGTGGCAGAGGGGCATAGTGGAGGAAAAGCTGCCCACCTCATGGCAGCCAGGAAGCAGAGAGCAAAGGGAGGAGCCAGGGAGGCAGATGCACCCTTCCAGGTCATGCCCCCAGTGACCACCTCCTCCAACCAACCTCCGCCTCCTAACATTAAATTTAAATGTAGTGTCCTGGTGATCCAGTCACCCTTCAGAAGTGGCACCTCTGAGCTCATGAGACTCTTGGGGGGACATCTGATATAAACCATGGTACCATGTCAGAATTGTGATTTTTAAAGCAATTTGATAAGGAAAGAAGGCAGTTCTACTAATAAGTATTAGTATAGATTTGCAAAATAGTGCTGAAAATGATACTGTATATGTGGAATTAATCTGCTATATTCCACCTCTACAGAAAAGGAGATTTCATCAGATCAAGGGTCTACAGCCCTTTGTAGTGAGAAATATTTTTTTAGCATAAATAACATGGTTATTCATCTGCATACTCACTTTCCCTTTTTTTAGTTCTATTTTTTATTTGTACATGTTTTTAGTATGCAATGATTACATTCATAGTGGAGAGTTGGTACATGTACACAACACATCTTATGTACTGAGAAATTTAATTCTTCACCTAAAACCATGATTGATTTTCCTAAAATTGTGGGAATAATAGAAGGACTTCGGTTAGCACTGCCTTCACAGCATTTCTAGCTATATCACATGACTTAAGAATTAGACTGATAACAGTTGAGTTTATCACCCTAATAGATTGAAGGGTTAGGGCTTGCCCCTCGGATAGCAGTGCTAAAAGCAGAGTCATTTCTCAGTATCTTATTAAGGATTTTTGCATCTTTGTTCATTACTGAGATTGGCCTATAGTTCTCATTTCTCAACAGTCATCTATTAGAAGCTGAGGATGCTCAGCTGGATATCCGTTCCCTGTCTTGAATTTTCTGTAATCTACCTACCTAGGTCCCAAAACTCAAACAGCCAGGTCTTGCCTGGCTTCTTTTGGATCAAGTCAGAGAAAATTTCAGTAGTCTTTGCCTTATATCTTTGTCCTTTAGATATGATTGGGCAGATGGCTGTCAACATCACATTGTAAAAACAGCAAGTGGGATAGGAGACATTGTTGAGGCCTTATTTTTTTAAAAAAATCTGCCCCATAAAGTAAAACTTTTTTCATGCTTAGAATTGGTTAAAATGAAATACACCAATGAAAACTTTCAATTACTGCTAATATTTTAATTCAGAAAATGTTTTCTAGAAGCCAGGCATGGTGGCATAAACATCTTCCCAGCTACTTGGGAGGCTGAGGTGGGAAAAATCCTAAGTTTGAGAGCAGCCTGGACAACTTAGCAAGACCTTATCTATAAGTAAAAAGTTAAAAAGGGCTGAAGGTTTAGATCATCTGTAGAGCCCTTGCATAGCATGTGAAAGACCCCAGTGTTTCCTACCAAGGTTCCATGAAGCCTTGATCCAGTCCTCAGCTCTCTGGGTTTCTGGGTTTGTTGGCCTGGCCACAACCAAGAGTATGAGAAAAACCCATAAAAAATGGAAAAATTAGATTTTTTTTTCACCTGTAAATTGAGCTTATTTTATCTTTAAGACCCTTGAGAATTTTTTGTAGTGAGTTTCCTGGAAGGGAAAAGAAAACATTATAACCTTGGGTAACTTTGTATTCTGAAGCTGCAGTTTTTCTTAAAAGTACAATTTTAATATTGTGATTTTCCCTGGATTGGGAGAGGTGGCAGTTATTTGACACAGTAATCTTCTCTGGCCACTGTTCTATGCTGTTTGTTAGCCAGCTCAACTTGTTTCTGATTTTCCTTAAACTCTGGTTTGTTGTTGTTGTTGTTGTTTGTTTGTTTGTTTGTTTTTGAGACAGAGTCTTGCTAAGTTGTACAGGCTGGGCTCAAATTTGCAGTCCTCCTGCTTCAGGCTCCCAGAGTATTGGGATTACAGGCATGTGCCACCTCACCCCACCAAACTCTGGTATTTTTAAAAACATGATTATGTAATGGGAAATGTAGTTGGAGCTTCAAAGATAAATTTAACTCAAATAGAGCATCAAATTCATTATGTCTTTCAGTTTTAAACTACCAGGTGCTAATGATACTGCAAGAAAAACTTTCTGCTTCTTCATTAGAAAAAATAGAACAAGTAAAATTCTAGACATTTTAAATCTACTTTTTGTTTAAATTTAGTTTTGTCATCGTTTATTATGATGTATTTTCTTTTCTCATATACTTTGGTAAGACTTCTTTGGTTTATATGAATTGTACATGAGCTGATAGGAGAAAAATGTTTCTAAGGGGTTTAGTTGTATGACAGTAACAAAAATTAGCCTCCTGTTCACATGAGTCATGAGTAAAGGCCAGTTAAAGTCTTAACATAAAGCAACTACCAGAACTTCAGCGTTCATTCTTGCCTCGTGCACCAGTTGTAAGAATTAAACCTTTTTTAAAAAATCATGATTTAAGAATTGTCTTTATCACTTCATTACATACATTAGTTTGTTACTGAGTCACCAAGTTAATACTGACAACTAATATTTCTTAGAATCATCTTTTTTAACATGCCCACAACACATCACTACTTGTATTTACCGAAAGTAAACTCTTCACAACCCTAAAATCTGTAATCAAAGAATTTCTTTAAACACTTTACTACGTATATTATAGGGTTTTTTTTTACCTTCTTATATTCTCTGAATTAATACTCTAACAACACAGCTTTCAACTGACCTTTTTTTTTTTGGTTCTGGTGGTGGTACTAGAATTGAACCTAGGGCCTTCACATTGAACTCTTTCTCCAGCTGGGTTTGGTTTGGTTTGGTTTGGTTTTAAACCAGTGTCTCACCAAGTTACTGAGTTACCTGGCTGGGCTTGATCTTGTGAACCTCCTGCCTTAGCCTCCCAGAGTGCTGAGGTTGCAGGGGAGTGCCACTATGTCTGGCTACAACTGATATTCATAGAATCATCTTTTACACATGTTAATGCATTTATTCACTTGAAAGAGCACCCTTCAAAGTAAAACTTTCAACCCATATGTAAGACTCATGTTTTAAGTGTTTTAAAAGACCTTTTTATGTTGTTCTCTGCCAGTTACTACAGATTCATATTGGTCTACAAGGAAAACAAAAATCTTGCTTTTGTTCTGTGCCCATGCTTTTTTATACAGATAGAGAAAGAAAGATGAATGATAGCTTGGAAGATTTATTTGATCGGACAACACATGAAGAATACGAATCCTGTTTTGCAGACAATTTTCCCCAAGTGGTAAATGAATTGGAGGAATTATCCACTGCCATAAGGAAACCAAATGGTAAGGCTTTTTTCTCTTTAATTATGGCTTCTCCATTATACTGAATTCAGCTTAGTTAAGACATTAACTAATTGACAGAGGTTCACTAGGGCTTATTAACAAAGTTTTGTGGGTTTTGTGTAAATTTGTTTATTACTACTTATTTTGAAGTAATTTCAAACTAAGAGTTCTAAAAAGTAGTGCTGAGTGTTCTATACCGTTCCTTCAGCTTCCTTTTATGTTAACATCTTATATAACCATAAAATATTTATGAAAACAAAGAAATTAATCTTGGTTCATTGTTACAAATTTCTTTATAATATATACATAAATTTTTTTAAAGTTTTGAGAAATGACTGTTAATAATTGCAATAAAGGACAGTCTTGCAGAAAATTTACACCCATTTTCTGCTCTGAATGCTTTCTTTATCCTTCCAGAGTAACTCACCTAATGTAGTTATAAGTATAATTAGTCTTAAGATCTGTTACATTAGAAGCAGTGATTTTATAATGTGGGGTAACAACCAAGAAAGAATGAGCTTATATAATTGCAACTCTAAGTAGATAATCTGGATTAAAAGTTAAAATTCTAAATCCTCATCTTAGTGTTAGTAAGTAGTTGGAATTTTTAAGGTAGAGCAAAGATTGTTTTACGCTGGTTCAAAATAAACACACCTCCCGCTGTGGCATAATCTGTCTTGTTTACGTTGTTCTTCCATCACAGGCTTTTGCTTGCTCTATCCATGGCAAAAATATCATCAAATAAATTTTTTGTAATAAAAACTTAACAGCTGTTCTATATACTTTCCTCCCCAAGAAGAACAAAGAAAATGGATATTCTCGTACAAAGATGTACTTTTTAATTTCTGTCCTTTTTTTCCAGCTACATTTAATACTGAGAATCCCATTTGCCACTCAATGTCCCAAAATTCACTGTTGTTTTGCTTTTATTAAAATGTGTGCTACTGGGGCCAGGGATTTAGCTCAGTGGTTCTGGCGCCTGCCTCGCAAGCGCAAGGTCACGAGTTCGATCCCCAGCACCAAAAAAAAAAAATGTGTGCTGTTTTATTTACTGGCGGCTCCAAGAGTCTGTCTTTCTTACATATTTTATCTCAACTTTTATTAATACCTCTGAAAATGATTCCAAATCTGCAGGTCTAAGTTTACTTTTCTAGTAAATTCCATTCCTGCATTTCTGAATAATTGCTAGATTACTTTTGTGTCCCTTCAGCTTAAATTTAACATGTCTGCGACAAGTCCCATTTTTTTCTTACTACATTTATTTTTATTTTTCCCATTCAGACATATATTTTAGAATTTGTTGTCCATTTATTTTATTTTCTCCGCCCCCATTTCACAGAATCCTGCTGGTCTTGCTTTATGGGAAAGAGCAAGTTTGGAGGACAGTGTCAAAAGCTCAGTTCTGACACGTTCTCACCAGGCCTTCAAGAAGTGTTTAGAAGGCACTTGGCATATGTTTAGAATTTGGACAAGGAACCCACATTTTCATCTGTAGCAACATGGTAAAGAGATACTGAGTTTAAATGAGACAAAAAGTCAGAGAAGGTAAAATTTAGGTAGATTTCTAATTTAATTATATTAAGTTAAAGATGTTTATAAGATGTTAAACAGGTAGATGGAATCAGATCTGGGATTCAGAAGAGATAGGACTAAGCTGAGTTTAATGAATACACAGAAATGTTTTCACTGGGCTTCCAGAACAACACATACTCTGTTTCCCTCCTGTATTACAAGACAAAGCTTCTTCTCCATTTCCTTTGCTGTTTCTCCTTTGTTTCTCTGAGGCCATAAAATTGCTGCGCCCCAGAGTTTATAACCTGAAATGCTTCCCCTTTCATTTCCAACATCTTGGTGATCCCACCCGGTTTCACGCCTTTAAGAACCATCTACTTGCTGTTTACCTCCTGCCCCCAAATTATTTCTTTATTTTAGATTTCTTGTCCAAAATAAAAACATGCCAACTGCCTTCTAAACACTTCTTGAATGACTTCATTTTTCACCTTACTTTCCTGACTAGTCTAATCCTCTGGCAGTACTCTCTCCAAGTATATTTCATGTCACTTCACTTGTCTCCCTCTTAGCACTGCTAAACCACTGCTGTCTCACCTGTTCTTCTGCAGGCCTCTTACACCTGGTCTTTTTATACCAATTATTTCTCTTGTCTGGTCTCTTCTCTACAGGGTATCAAGAGGGATTTATTTTAAATGCAAATTAGATTGTGTTACCTTTTTGCTTAAAAACTCTTCAGTAAGAAGATGCTTGAGTGGCCAAGGAGTCCACAAAAAGATGTTCAGCATCATCAGTCATCCAGGCATTAATAGCACTTTCTATCCACCGAGATGGTTAAAGAGATTGATAGTATCTAACTTTGGAGATAGTGAAGTGCAGCTGGAAATCCCATACATTGAAAATGGCAGTATAAAATTGTTACCTGTTATTTTTTAAAACAGCTACCTTCTAAACAGCTTTATAGAAGTTTGTCAGTTTCATATAAAATTACACATATACCTATCCTGTTACCAGTATGTATCTCCCAAGAAAAATTAAAATATGCTCACAAAAAGATATGTTTAAGAAGGTTCATACAGTATTTAAGAGTAGCAACTCAAAACTGGGAACAAATGTCCATCGGCAGATAAATAAATTGTGACACATTTATTTAATGGAGTATTACTCATCAACAAAGGGAAGGAACTGCTAGACCCAGCAACATGGGTGAATGTCCAGCTTGTTGGGACAAAAATGAGCAAGCATACTATATAATTATGTAGTCCCAAAGCAGCCGTAGCTAAGCTATTTCATAAAAGAAATCATATCAGTGTTTATGGGGGAGGGGAAAGAGCAGAAGTGAAACACTAGAGAGCATTCATATCCTTATCGATCCAAGGCCATGGTGATCTGGTGCCTGTCCACCTCTAATTTCATCTTCCCCTTGGCTCTCCATTATTTGTTAAATCTCATGCACAGTGGCATTCTCATAGTTCCTATAACATACCAAAGTTTTTTCTGTCTCTATACCCTTACCTGTAATATTCCCCACTCCACCTCGTCTCATGACTGGCTTTTCATTCATCAGTTTCTATCTTCCCATCTTCTTTCTCAAAGAGGTGTTAACTCTACCTACTTAATGTTTAACTGTCCATTTGCTTAATGTCTGTTTTCTTCACTGGAATGCAGGCTCCATGAGGACAGGGACCTGGCCTCTCCTGTTCTACATTGTATGTCCAGAACTTAGTACAATTCTCAGTAGATTTTCATCTTGTAATGGCATTTGGTTATTTGAGTCTAGATATCATGCAATTCACATCCCAGATTCTGAGCTCTAGTTCTTAAGCTTTATCACCAATATTCTGATAAAATTTTTTAATTTGCTTATTTTCTAGTCATTATATTCCTGAAAGACACATAAAAATCAATGGAACAAATAAATGAGACATACTAAAAGCTGACTTGTGTTGGTTTTTGCCAAACAATAATGGACATCTGAGTGGTTCTTTTTATACATTCCTGCCAGCGTGAACCACAGGTGGTACATGCATGACTGTCCCATCAGATAGCTTGTACCACTGGCAGTACAAATGGATCTAATCACTTCTATTGGTCTTTTTAACCAATAAAATTAATAAAAAGCTACCCATTGAGACAGTCATGCATGTACCACTGGTGTTTCAAGCTGCCCAACAGGGAGGCATACAAATTATAGCCCCATTGTGAACATGTTAAAGTCTGAACTTCTCTCTGAGATAATGCTTTTTGGCTTTTTGGTAACTCCGAGGTAAGATAGGCATCCTCTTCATTATACAAATAAAAAGGACGAAAAGTAGTGATTGAAAATTTAAATGAGTTGCCCAAGGGACTAGACTATGAAACTCATTAAAAAGGTTTGGTGCATGTTACATATTTTTTCCAAACAAGCTAATTATTTCTCATTAAGTTCTATACTTAGTTTGTGATATGCTTGTTTTATTTACAGCACATGATGATAAACAAGATAAAGTCAAGCAGAAAGCATTTGTGGAGCCATATTTTAAAGATAATGAGAGGTAAGTGGTCTTGATTAATACCAGCAGTGTAACTGAAGTTACAGCACCACTGTCTTTGTCTCAGTATCGCTAAGCTATTAAATGCTGCTTTGATAAGAACAGAATAACTGACTCTGATCATAGCCAAAAGGACTGAAGAATGAAGGTGATACATTTTCCAGAGAAGGACATTTTACCAGCAGCGCTCTTTTCAGATACTGGTAATAGTTCTCTGTTGTCTTATATCATAGCAAATACTGTATTTTTATTCTATTTTATTTTGAACTTTGGGAATTAAATTATATTAGGTGTTGAATCTGAAATTGTCATACTTCAGGATTATTTTATGAAGATATTTGAATCTTTAAAACAACAAAAACACCTTTTAAGCATCTTGATTTCAAATCATAGTGCTACTTCCTGCCTCTAATACAAACATCACAAATTGTTACTTTCAATCATGTGCTATTTGTTTAACTGAATTCAAGCATAGTACAGTAGAGTTAAAGAGCAAAATAAGGAAAGGTTTATGTAACATTTGTCCAATGGGGGAGGAGGACAGAGGACTGTTATTGACTGACACGTAATTTATTGAGTAACTCATTTGTCAGTATCACAAAAAAAAGCATAAAAATTTTTGGATAAATTACTGAAAATCACTTGTTGTATACAATATTTCTCATTTTTTTATCTTCATAGTACTTTGTTATGTGATTACAACATGGTTTATTTCCTAGCCCTAGACAGTTATGCCAGCACATGTAGTGCTGCAGTGACCAGCCTGCACTTTCTCTTTTTATAATTTTGCTTGTATGTCTTTGGGAGAGATTTCTAGAAGTAGAATTGCAGATTAAGAACTGTCATCTCAGATGTCTCATATTAGAGATATGCTGATTGTTTTTAAAATTTAAGTACTAGTTTATTTATTCTGAAGTTATTAGACTACTAGAGAAATAGAAAGTAGGTAAAAGTATAGGGATGGTGGAGGTCTGAGAGTTAACTTGGTTGCTTTTCCAAACTGAGAATTCTAGTAACAGGGACAAGAAGCTTCATAACCTTTTAGGTGACACATTTTTGGAGGTCTGCTGTGGATGCCAATCCACTAGTGGATTCCCTACTAAATTACAGTATACTTCAGAAACAGAATAGATAATATTCAGAGGAAAGGATATAGCCAAAATGTATTCTGCATAAGCTTAAGATTCCGTAAACTATCTGGGGGGAAAATACAGTTTGTCAGTATATTTTTATCACTCCTTTCTTATTGTCTCCCTTTTTAAATTCACAAATGGCTCCAGAGTTGAATTCTTGGGTGAAAACATAGGTACATGAGTTCATATACTTGGAAGTGGAGCACTTGAAGCTTCTTGTGAAAGAAAGTGCTTGCCAGTAGAGGAGCATGTTCCAAATATCTCAAAGGTGTAGATGTGCTACAAACAAGTCATTTTAAAAGTCAGATTTTGTGAATCAGACAGTTTAAGATCCCTGGGAATTTTTTTTAGGGGGATTGGCAGGGATGAGGCAGGGTCTCACTATGTAGTTCAGGTTGGCCTTGAACTCATTATATAGCTCAAGCTGGCCTCAAACTCAGTGGCTATCCTCCTGCCTGAGCCTTCTGAGTGCTGGGGTTACAGATGTGCCCACCACCCCTGATGCTCACTGGCAATGTTTTATAAACAGAATATATATGTAACTGTTTATTTAACACATCTTGTAAGCTTTAATTTGTGTATGGAGGCTTTTTAAAGCCAGGTACAAGTATATTAAATTTTTAAAATTTTGTACTTCTGTGTGTTTTTTCTTCTCAGACTACTCCAGAACACCTTAACCTATATCCCAGTGCCTTTGACTCTTCCCAGGTTTCCAGTGGTTTAGAGTAAGATCTGATGCATTTAAAGAGAAGCACAAATAATAATTGTGCCCACACTTTGAAGAACTCAGAATGGCTAGAGGCAGTGAAAGGCAGTGTCTCTTTTAGACAAAATGGCAAATAGCATATGAACAGACGATCTGTCATCTGAAGAGGAAATCTGGGTTCTTAGTACTAGGAAAACTGAGGCATTATTTTTTCTTGGTTATGTTACACATGCACACAGACACACATGAAAATTTGCTTGGATACAGTAGGTATTTAATAAATATTTGAAGAAATATTTTTCTAATATACTGAATAAGCATCTTAAATAAAATGAATAATGTTTCAGGATTATTTCTCCTCTCAACTCTCAGCTTTGTTAATTCAAATCATAAACCACTTGATCTTTGTAATAGCAAATAAGTTAATTTAAAATTCATTTTCCCACCAGAGAGACTAGCTTACGAAATTTTCCTCATATTGAGGTTGTTCGGAAAAAAGAAGAGAGAAGAAAATTGCTTGGGCACACGTGTAAGGAATGTGAAATTGTAAGTACTAATAGAAATGCTGTTTTTGTTTTAAAGTATAGCTTTATAGATCATAAAAATGATACAAACCATACTTGTATCCAGAAACCTTGACTGAGCTGGAAATAACAAGGAATAAAAGGTATACTGGCTATGACCTGAGAGATATAAAGAGGTGAAAGTGAAAGCCCTCAGTTTCTCTTAGATTAAGCAAATCTGAGGCTTAAACCCTACCTGATTCATATGATCAGGTAAGACGTTCATGCCGTTGTTCTTTTCTGTATTTGCAGAGGTGTATATATACACACATACAATTTCAGGAGACCTTTGATATTTCAGTAGGGTACTTTACATATCTTTTTTTCACAAACACACAGGAAATTAGATATACTCATAATTAAGAAATAATAATTGGTAAGCTCTTATTTTTCCCCCATTTTTCCTCTCCAAACAAAATGTGGTAAGTTTTGCTTCATTCTTAGAACACTTATATTTTTCCTTTTATACACTGGCTGTCTTAGATGTTGAACTAGTTAGTGTAATGCTTAGTTGTGCTGTTACTAACTCATCCTGGGCTTTGCTTAAATTCTGCTCTTTGTCCTTTCTTGCCCATTAGTTTTCTGATGCCTGCCTCTAGCAACTTACTTTGCCTTTTAAGGGTCCTTTTTTAACAACTATAGGCTATACGCCAACTAGCTTTTCATGGCTGTGACAAAAACCTGAATAAACAAGTTACATGGAGGAAAGATTGATTTTGACTCATGGTTTCAGAGGTGTCAGCCCATGGCTTCTTGGGCCTGTGGTGAAGCAGAACATCATAGCAAGGAGCATGTAGCAGAGCACAGCTGCTCCCTTCATGATGGCTGGGTGTAGGACATCTCCCAGTGATGTACTTCCTCCTGCGACACCTCCCAAAAGTTCCGCCACCTCCCAGTAGTGCCATCCCCTGGGCGCCAAGCCTTCAGCACATGAGCTTCTGGGGAATGTGTAAGATCTAAACCATAACAGGCTAGACAATTTGCTAACCCAACACCTTAAAAATTACATGAGAAAGTATGAATAGATTGTCATGTAGGTAGGCATTTGGTGAAAATACATATTCACAGTGGGAATAAAAATGAGGATCACTGTTTTGAAAAGCAGTTTGGCAATACAAGCAAAAGTCACCAGTATAATGAGTTTTATAACACAATTTGAATGTGATTTCTTAAAAAATATGGCCTTCATAAGTATATCTCCAGTTTTTATTTCTAACCATAACTCTTTATGATCTGGAACCAATCCTGCTAGTTAAGAAATAGCTCTTGTGCTAGAAACACTTTTAAATTTGCTTTTTTTCTCAGTGCTGTTCTTTGCAATTGTCTAATCCCTGAAAACCATGGTTTCATACATTTTATGTGGTTATTTTCTTTGGTGGTTAAAGATACGATAGTGAATTATTCCATTACTCCATCATGATAAGTGAAAGTGCTGGCCTCATATACTTAAATACTAGTTACTGTTCCTAAATGTATCCCGTTGTCTGTTCCACATGTGCAGTGTATAGCATACATGTGAATATGTGATAGTGACCTCAAGTTCCAAAAACAAATTCACAGTTTCTACCTCTGATTCCCAGATGTTACTGCTTAGCCTCCTGTATGTCCATTCTTTTGATTGTTGAAATAAAAGATCTGATAGGTTTTCACTACTCTGTTCTTGAGCATGTCAATAACTAATCTGTCAAGCAAATCTTTTTGATTCTTCCTTGAAAACACGCCATTCCTATCCATTTATTGCTGCCACCAGTGCCCTGGACCAAGACACCATTTTTTTCTGTCTGGAGTATTAAAAGTAGATTCTAAGTGATTTTCTTGTTCTTTTTTTTTTTTTTTTAAGAAACTTTATTTTTTAGAGCAGTTTTAGGTTCACAACACACTTGAATAGAAAGTACATTGTTTCATTCTTGTCTCTTCACAGTGTGCTTTCAACACAGCAGTGAATGGTCTTTTTCCCCTAATAATCTTTTTAAAATAAAAAGTTAAATTGTGTCACTTCTCTGCCCAAAACCTTTCATGTCTTCCCTGCTGACGAAGAAGTAGAATCCAAAGTTTTTACCAAAGACAGCAAACTGGTACCCTTCTTCCTCTCTGTGTTCTACCGCACTCCCATGTGCTCTGTGTGCTGTAGCTGCAGCTGGGCTACCCTGCTCTTGTGTCCAGATGTCTTAGTTTGGTGGTAGTGTTTTTTCCAATAAGGCATGATTATCTAACGTTATTCCATTCCAAAGCTCAGACTAAGGTAACAAGGTTATAGTTGGGCAGTGAGAATGGTTAAAATGTACCACCACCCCCGGTGTTTCAGAAAGTCTCTGAAAGCCTTTAACCCATGTAAAATTTAAATATATCAAAAACCTTTTCTTTAAACTTACAATTCTACTCCTAAGTCTGTTACCTAAGGCAATATCTTTGGCAAATTATCACTTCGATTTTCATCTTCTCAAATGTAAAATGAAGGAATTGCTGGATTATGTAACTCTGGCATCTGTGTTCCATTAAACTGAACTACCACTTTGTTTTCTTGAGGTCTTGAGCTTGAAGACCTATTTATGTGTAGTTTTTGTGTACAAGTTTTATCCGTGTTTGCATGAAGTTCAAGGTTGTCATGATTACAGTTCAGAAAAGTGTGCCTTTGATCCTAATTTTAAAATGAAGTTTACAGGGGAAGTCATAAATCCTACAACATTCAAGTCTAAATTTTTCTTTTAAAAAACTCTAGAAACATGGTAGCACATTCCTATAATCCCAGCTACTGAGGCAAGATGATCACAAGTTTCAGGCCAGTTTGGGCTATTTAGCAAGATCCTGTCTCAAAATAAAAAAATTTGTCAAAGATTCCAAGGATGAAACTCAGTGCTAGAGAGCTTACCTAGCACACACAAGGCCCTGGGTTCAGTCCCCAGTACAGATGGATGGATGGATGGATCTCGAGATGAGAAAATTACTTTGAAACACTCACATTATATCCAAATAATAACTGAAAAAACTGCAGACCTCTGAATTTTTGTAACTGGACTTGCAAGAATGAGAAGTTTGTACCAGTGTATGAATCAACTGTGTCACTGGGTACACTGAGGCAGGTTATTTACATTATGAATGTAAATTCACATTGTAAATTTATTTAGATTTTTCTCATTCATGGAACAAATATTACATGTACCAGTACTGATTACTGTTAGTAATTAATAGTATCTAAGTATGAATTACTAATATTATCCTCAGTATTAAGTTTCCATAGAAGACAGAATGTTTTCATAAGTGACTTGCTTAGCTCCTAGTTTATAATCAGTACACATTCCATTTACTATCCCTCTATCAGTATTATGCAGACATGCCAGCCGAAGAAAGAGAAAAGAAGTTGACTTCCTGCTCAAGACACCGATTTCGCTACATTCCACCCAATACACCAGAGAATTTCTGGGAAGTTGGTTTTCCTTCCACTCAGACTTGTATGGAAAGAGGTAAGACTATAGATTGTAACATTTTAGAGTTAATTCTTTAAAATATTGTATATACCCTAGTCTGAGCATTAACCTTTTCTCCATGATTCTGCTGAGGATTAGGTGCTAATTCTGTTATATAAAAATAAATTCCTAAAGATAAAAGGTTTACCTTCACCTCTCCTGTTAGTTTAATTGAAATCAAACAGTTTTTAATCACTTTAATACATTTACATATGTATTATGGTTTATCATTCAAATTTCAAAACGCAATTTCTCTTTCATCCTGTTAACAAAAAGTCTTAAGTAACTACAAAAGTTAGTGGCAAACTTACGTTGTTAACAAGAGAGCATCTTTTAAAAACCCACTGCTTTGAGCTGTGAACTTTTAGAGCTCACTCATCTAGAATGCTGGATGTTTATAAACCCTGTTTGAATTTTTTAAAAGATGTTTGTTAGATTGTTGACTTGTAAATATGACACGTTTAATATAATTTAAGAATGTGTGTGACTTTAAAACTGTTAATACATCTTGATTAGCGAATTTTGTTCTCGCTGTATTACTGCCACTATTACTCAACTAGCAACACAATGCTAAAAAAATATAAGTACACACTTACCTAGTTTTGTATTCATTTTCTCCCAAAGTTATTAGGTGTGTTCTGAAGTCCTCGTGTTACGGTAACTACCTTTGGGGCAGCATACTCCATTCTGCCCCAGCTCAGGCTAGGATTGTCAGTCTGAACATTGTCTGTACAGTCATATGCTACATAATATTTCAGGCAACAATGGGCCACATATACAATGGTAATTCTGTAGAATTCCATCTCCCAGAGAGATGGTAGCCATCTTAACTTGTGTATATATACTGTGGTATCTGTAAAGGAAACTGTTTAATAATATTTACCAGGCCATCCCCAATCATAAGCATGACTGTATTTGGGCAACATAATTACTTATAGTAATTAAGATCTAAACTTAGCCATTAGTTTAAACTAAATGAAATGCTCTAAAGCCTTAAGTGCTCTTAATCTTAAAAGAGCTATTCAGCTAAGCAGCATCCATTTCACATTCTTTTGTTATGAACATATTCCAAGGGAATTCACAAGAGCTATTTTTTATGATGGGGCCTCAATTGCTCAAAATTTTACGCCCTACATTACTGCATTCTTAGAACTTTTTATTATTTGCACATATTAAAAGTATTTGTATAGATACTCAGTTGGGCATTCCCTTTAATAACAGAATATACTCATGTTTTAGAGAAATTTTTTAAATCATCCTAAAACAGGAATAAATATTCACATTAAATGTATGCAATTTATCAAATTTTATGGGTACACTTCAATGAAGAAGCTGCCTAGAAAAAAGCCATGAGAGAAGAGATGAAATATATCAGCTAAGCAAGGACTTACCTGAACTTCTTAGTTTTACCATGATCTGTAGACCACCCAGTCTTGTCTTGTGGTTTAAAATACTGTGTTAAAAAAATGAAATAAAATACGGAGTTTTATGAAAATATGATATGTTTTCTGAGATGTAACTGGAAAATGCAATGTTCATAATATGTATATGAATTGACTTTTAGGTTTATGATAGATTTAATTACTAGCCTACGGATCTTAAGCCTACAGTTTTAAGTCATAAACATCCAAAAGGTTTACCCACAAGCATTGAATAAATATCAAATAAGATTACCATTTAGAAGTTTTCAAATTTGTCATTTTATGCTATTCTCATTTAAGAGTTCTGATGGCCCAACTGTATGATTACTATATTTCCCCCAAAATAAGACCATGTCTTACATTAAATTTTACTCCAAAAGATGCAGTGGGGCTTATTTTCAGGAGAGGTCTTATTTTTTCATGTACAACAATCTACACTTACTCATTTATTCATGTACAAAAATCTACATTCATTCAGAGACAGTGCTGCCATCATCTGGAACATCATCATAACTCTCCAAACCCCAAATCCCAGCCTGCATTTCTTGCCACTTCATTTCCTGTAGACCCATTGGCCCCAGTCTGTTGCCCACCAGTGGTCCTCTCCTTGAATGAGCACTTCTTGTCCATGTGGCTTGCTCTTGGCGCCCTGGCAATCCCGCTGTCAGCGATTTTAGCCCATGAATTCTTCACCTGAGTCACAGCCTCTTCCAGGTTGGGCTTCACAGAGTTTCCGTCGAATCTAGTGTGAATTGAAGACTTAACGACACAGGAGTGGCACCAAAAATAATTAATTAAGGATGATGGTCCATTCAAAAGCAATGAAAAATTTCAGGCACCAAAATTTTAAAAACATTTTATTTCACATGAATGCATGAAGTGTGTCCATCACAACACACAACATACTGAATTATGAAGATTCATATTGGACAATCACATCCATTCATTATCAAGTGTGCACATTATTTGTGCATTGTGTCTGTGCTCTGCTCATTCAGCAATAAGTCTCGAAGTCATCTGTTTACGTAGGTGGTTACCTCTCCAAAGGCACTCGTTTAGGTATTTACAAATAATTATAATTTATCACTTAAATATTAACATCAATAATATTCATGTTTAATTTTGTGTGTGTGTATGTGTATATATATATATATATATTATATATATATATATTTTTTTTTTTGTACCAGGGATCGAACTCGGGTCCTTGCGCTTGCGCAGCAGGCGGTGAAACCACTGAGCTAAATCCCCAGCCCTATATACAGTATTTTTAAATGAGTACATCTGTCGTGTATTGCAACAGCTGTACTAACTGCATCTGTCTGGCTCATGATCTTAACTGCATTAATTTTGGGATAGGGTTTATATTTTGAGCATCCTAAATAATTATGCTAGGGCTTATTTTCCTGGTAAGACTTATTTTGGGGGAAATAAGGGGGGACCTTCATCACTTCCAGAGAAGCTCCAGGTATTTAACTTTATGATAGCTTTTCTAAAAGATTCAAAGTCTCTGGCAGCTATTATTATATTTCCACTAACCCATTAATAAGTCAGATTAAATCCCTTTTGACATAATAGCTCTCTGAACAGTCCTCACAGAATCAGACAGTCTCACAGAGTCAGACAGTAGATTCTGTGTTGGCCCCATAGTGTGCCCAGGGCACAATCCTCCCCTCAAAATTCTATGAGTGGAGACACCTTGGGAAAGAGTCCTGACCATCTAGAAGGTGTGAGGCAGGCATGTCAACCAAGGAAATAGCTACTCCAAAACATCATTTCTCCCCCCCACCACCACCACCACCCCACCCTGTATAAGTACCTGAAATTTCTCTTAGTAGCAAAGTTCATTTGCAGCAGTTTGTACAGCCTCCGGGAGCCAGAATATGAAAATGCCTAAGACCTCTAGGTCTGGAATTAGAGCTTGGGCAAGGTTCCACCCCTTCTCCTTCCTAGCTTTGTAAACTTAGGCAAGTTATTCACCTTCTCTAGGTCTCCATTACCTCATCAGTGAAAAGTGTGAGTTACCTGAGGTGATGTACACAAAGCATTTGATAAATATTTGCTGTTTCTACCGTTAATATAAATGACAAAGCCTGCCAGGTGTGGTGGCACAAGCCTGTAATCTCAGCACCCTTTGAGGCTGAGGTGGGAGGATGCCAAGTTCAAGCCCAACCTGGAAAACTACTGACTTAGCAAGACCCTGTTTCAAAGTAAAAAATGGGGTGGGGTGGGGGGTATAGCTCAGTGAGAAGGCCTTGCTTGACTCAGTCTTCAATCCACACAAAAAAGGAAGCTGACGCTACGTAGTGAAATCATTCATCAGCATTACAGCAAATAATCAGAAGAACTATGTAAATTTATAAGGCATTAAATAAGGTAAATTTTACTGGATATATGCTGAAAGAAATGTATGTTGCAAATATAGTCTTCTAAATTTCTAATTTTTTTAAAGGTTACATTAAGGAGGATCTTGATCTTTGTCCTCGTCCAAAAAGACGGCAGCCTTACAATGCAGTGTTTTCTCCAAAAGGCAAGGAGCAGAAGATATAGAGACTGAAGCACAAACAGGACAGAAGGGGACTTTTCTCCCTTTTAGTTATTTATAGGTAGTTGGTATTAAACATTGATTTTTTTTATCTTCTGTAAATTGACTTACAAATCAGTTTTTCTATTAAAAATGTTTTTAAATGGCATTTACCTACCACACCAATGACTATTTAAAATGTGGATGTGTTTATACTTTCTTACTATTGCATCTTTAAAACAGTAAGGTGCTTTAATTTTGCACTCTAACTTTAGAGTTGTTTGTTTACTGTTTTGGTAATTACAATTTTGAAAATATGGTAGTTGTCTGATTTGTTTTTTGCAATTATTTCATTTCTATTCCATCTTCCTTTGACAGCTACAGTTAGTGATTTCATGTTAATCATTACAGATTTTCATTCTCTTAATCATTTGCTCTTCAGTAGGGTATACCAGTATCTGATATTTAAGTCTTAAAAAGAAATGCTAAATTTCAGTAGTCTTAACTCTCGAGCTTCTTTCTTTCTTTTTTCTATTACTTAAGTTTATTGGTACATTTTAGGTGTACAGTACGATGACATTCATCATTGCAAATTTGTACCTTTACATGATATATCTTGGTTCTTACTTTTTCCCCATTCCCCTGTCCATCTTCTTTTATGGAACTGAAGTGACTTACTAAGGTGACCACATGTATCAGAAAAACTGCAAATTAGCATCATCCCCTGATCTGATCATAATATTGCAGCTGTTCTCATGTTCTTTTCATCAGGCCTTTTTTTTTCTGATGCCATTTTCGAGCTGAATTTGCTGAATTCTTCTCTGCCCATGTGTTCAAGTTCAGTTTTATTTCTCTGGATTGATTCATAGCTTTGTTGATTTAGCAACTTTCTGTTCCTCTAGGACCTAGTGACTGACTCATTCAAATAATTGACCATGTGTGTCACCTTTTTAGTGGCATTTTGCTTACCAGTGCTTTTTTTCCTTGTTCCTTTAATCCTTATCCTGACAGTATTTATAAGCAAGAATACAAAAAACACTAATGGAATGGCTCATTAAATCTAAGTAATTTTATACATAGACTCTTCTCAGTTCTTAAAAGTTTCTTAATTAGTCTAGTCTTATTGCTCAAAGTTCTCTGAGTAAATGGCATCAGTTTGTGTTCTCAGAAAGAGAGTAGCAATTCCATATATTGAGTATCTATTAGATGTCATACCACTCACCTTGTTTGGCTTTCAATATGATTCTAAACTTTTTACAACTCTATTATGTCTTCTACTCAGCACTTTTCTTTCCCTCTCAAATTGTTTATCCCATGTTTGATTTTTGTTCTCATCTGACAGCTAATCTTAAAAAAAAGAAAATTACTGGTTACCTATTATATGCCAACATGTTATACTTTTCACATAGATTTTTCTCTTTCAATCCTCAAATAATCCTGTGAACTTGTTTATCACTTAATAATGATAGGCTGCAAGAAATGGAACAGCAGATTAAACAACAGATGACCTTTTCTCACCTTAAAAGTCTGTAAGACAGCAGTCCACGAATCCTCATGCAGCTCCATGATGCCTTTTCGAACCTAGGTTTCTCCTAGCTTTCTGCTCTTCTATACTTTGCATATGACTTCCATCTTTATGGCTAAAAAATAGCTGTGCCACCTCTAGAATCATGCCCACATTCTATGCAAGAAGAAAGGAAAAGAGAAAAAGTAATGTTTGGTTTTAGGCCCTTAAAAAAGTTTCCTAGAAGCCAGGAAGGATGGCACACACCTGTAACCTCAGCACTGTGGGAGGCTGAAGCAGAAGGATTACAAATTTGAGCCCAGCCTGGGCAACTTGGCAAGATCTGGTCTCAAAATAAAAAAATTTTTAAAGGGCTAGATAGTGTAGCTCAGTTTGAAGGCCCTCAATCTAATTGCCAGTACTGCAAAAAAGTAGTTTCCTAGAAAGCCTTACCCTATAATGCTCCCTGCAGTCACTTTCCTACCTCTAGTAGCCAGAATTGTCACTTGGTTACTGCTAATAACTGCTACAGATAAAGTCAGATTACATGATTGTCACTTTCCAGAATCAGAGCTCATATCCCCTTTTGCAGTGCCTCTGCATGCCAGGAACTTGAGAGATACCTGTATTTGAATGGGGTACAATAAAATGTGCAGTTCCATCTGTACACCTTTAATAGAGTTTGCCTTTTAAAGGGCAGCCTAAGCAGAGAGGGAGTAGATCGTCTACCTGATAGAAGCTTGTCAACCATCTAATTCATTTGTAACTATCATTTTTATCCTCAACCTATGAGGTTGGGTGAGCTGGGGTCTCCACAGTTTTATCTGCTGTTGACCAGCTCTACTTTTAAATACAGTAATGAGATAGACAATCGACGATTTTATTTTTCTAGTGCCAGGTATCATACCCATGACCTTACTCATGCTAGGCAAGTACTGTACCACTGACCTGTACCCCAGTGCCAACATAGGCAGTCTTTTAAAAAGCCACTTGAGTTAGAAGGGTGCATTTTATGACATGTTCATGACAGGGCTATAATTCATATGTCTCACTGCCAGGTGGCTTGAACCACCAGGAGTACACACATAACTAACACCTTCCACCAGTGATTCATGCTGCCAAGAACATGTTAAATGTAAATGGCAGTTGATGACAGTGTACTCAAACTTTTCTTTAAAAAAAAAATAAAAGAGCTTTATACATTTGTAAAATATTTGTATAATATACATGGTAGGTAGTATTCTCTACCATGTGTCAGTCACTGAGTTTATATAGTTATGTACATCAGATTGCGAGGTTTTTAAATTGAACGTTGATTTAAACTTCAAATACAGATCCCGCCGCTCCCGGCCCAGAGGTAGGGGCTTCTGAGCCACCGTCCCACTGCTCATGGTCCAGAGGAAGGGGCATCCTGGCCACCATCCCTCCCACCACTCCCAGCCCAGAGGAAAGGGCTTTGGGGCTGCCATCCATCCTGCCGCTCCCAGCCCAAAGGAAGGGGCTTCCTGGCCGCCATCCATCCCGCCACTCCCGGCCCAAAGGAAGGGGCTTCTGAGCCACCATCCCACTGCTCCTGGTCCAGAGGAAGGGGCATCCCGGCCAACATCCCTCCCACCTCTCCCAGCCCAGAGGAAAGGGCTTTTGGGCTGCTGTCCATCCTGCTGCTCCCGGCCTAGAGGAAGGGGCTTTTGGGCCACCATCCCTACTGCCACTCCCGGCCCCTGGCCCACCTCTCCCAGCTCAGAGGAGGTGAGCCACGTGGATGCCAACAACACCCCCCCGCCCCGCCCCCCCCAGCCGAAATGAGAAAACACGAAAATAAGTCTCAAAACCAGACTTCCAGATCACCTACAGCAACCCCAAAG